CCGGGCCTTACACCCAAAGTCGACCGACAAGCCAGCCGGAGGAAAGGAAAACGCAGCATCCGACGACCCAACACCCGCCCGCCCTCGACAACTTCGATTCCGCACTTTGCTTCCGTCAGTGATTGACATCGGCGCAATCTTGTTGGGAGGGTACAAATAGCTTGGCTACCGGCCCTCAATTGATCGACTCGAATCGCATCTGCTGTCGGAGTGAGGAGAATCCATTACGACATCGCGGAATAATCCTCTTTTTTTCCTCATTCTCGTTCGGCCTTCAACGTACGCCAAACTTTTCCGACTTGGACGTGGCCTGCGCTCCCACTGGATGCGCTACAATTTCCGGCGAGGTTGCGTTATCATAGATGTGAAAAGATCCGATTGAGCGACCGGACGTGCGAAAACTCCAACCAGGAACGAAGGCCAATTGACTCGACATCAAACATCCTCACCCCCTTTTGTCGGTCCCTGACATGACTGTCACTGTTCTGGCGACGCCCACCACCACCACCACCACTACAGCTAAGACGGAGCGTCGTGGACCGTTACTGGCTATCGATATGGCTACGTCCCAGGCGCAGGCGCGTCCTGCCGCGCCTGGAAGAGGCGGGGGCAGACGATCGAGTCGGCGGCTGAGTAAACAGGATAAAGGCGAGGAGAATGCGAGTGCGACTGCGAATGGTACAGGTGCTGGGGAGAAGAAGAGGAAGTTAGGTGAGTGGCTTTGCTTGTTTGGATGGATTGAGATTTTCCTCGGTTTGAGGATGTGGGTGGCTTTGAACGACAGCGATTCTTGTCGGGCTTTCTGGATGGTTTGGTCAGGATGTGCTAATTTTCATTTTTCCCGTGCGTAGTGCCTGTTGATGAGGAAGACGATGGTTTTCAATTTACGCGCATCGCGACAAAGAAGCCCAGACCATCGACGGAAAAAATTCAAACCGCGATTCTGCCGGCAAGCTCGCATCTAAATACAGCGCCGCAGCCATCTCCGAGAAGGGGTCGACCACCGAAGAAGAAGGTGGTGGAGGAGAAGGTGAAGCCTGCTGCGGTTGCGACAGAGACTACTACGGATACCACGAAAACGAGACGAAAAACGAAGCCGAGCGAGGGAACGAGCAAGAGGACAACCCGGGGAGCCGCAAAGGCGAAGGAGAGCCAGCCTGAGCCTGAACCCGAGCCTCAACCGGAACCGGAGCAAGAACCGGAGTCGCAACCTCCAGCCCAGGCACAGCCTGAGCCACAGCCAGAACGTGCGAAACGCTCGACGCGAAAACGAGATCAGGGGGAAACGGTCCCCTTGGAGAAGAAGCGGAGGAAAGGCCGACCTAGTAATTCTAGGAAGGAGGAACAGCAGAACCAACAACAGTCGCTGCCGACGCCGCAGCCGGAATTAGAGTCTCAACAACAACGACAACAATCACCACGACGAGCGTCGCTTCGCAATGGATACATGTCTCCAGGGGCGCCGCAGGCTGGCACGGCCACGATTTCATTGCCGTTGGCCGACACACCGGTCATACAAAGAAATCGGGAGATGCGAGGGAAGAAGTCCGTGAAGGGGAACAATCGGCGAAGTAGTCTGGGGATGCGAGGTCGGCGAGCAAGTTCGCTGATCGACTCTGGGGCGTCCAACGGTGGGTTTTATTGATCCGCAGGTGATTCCATGGCACGAGTGGCTGACGGGGATAATTCAGCGTTACCACATAGAAAGGTTAACACGGCGGATTTCTATAAGCATATTGCCGCAGACTTAACGGAGCCGCGTCGAATGCGGCAGCTTTTGATCTGGTGTGGTACGCGAGCCATAGGCGACAAGCCTTCTGGGTCGCGCTCAGAGGATGAGAGCGCTCGGCTAGCGGGTAAGTGCACCTTTCCTGGGATTGCGATGCACATGCTAAGACAACCTAGCACGTGTTATACAGGAGGAGCTCCTCAAAGACTTTGAGTCGAACTCCACACTCTCTAATTGGTTCGAACGGGAAGAGCTGGATCCTCCCGCGGTGGTGGTCAAGAAGGAGAACCCGAAGAACATCCAGAATGCGGACAAGATCAAGGAATTGGAGGAGTTAATACAGAAGTACGTCTCGCTTTAGGGGCTCTGTGTTGGCCAGACTGCTTACGTTTGACAATAGGCTACAAAAAGAGCGGCATGCTCTCAATGCTCTGTTACGACCGCCGGATATTCCCCGTATTAGAAAACAACCGCTCGAGACAGATCCCAGCCAGCCTTCACAACTATCATCGTCCAGGCCTGACGAGCCGATCGACTTATTGGTACTAGACCCGTCTCAGCGGAGGATATATGCCCAGATCGACCCGGAGACGGTCAAGCAACAAGAACAACCACCTCAACCACAACCACCACAGCCGACAGACGGCGAGCCCATGGACACCGACCCGCCATCAGCAGCAGCAGCAAGATCAACAACCTCCGCAACAGATACCTTCCTCCCTCCAATGTCCCCAACTACCATTTCCACCCGCCTCTCCCGCGTAACCAGCACCCTCGCCCCGACGCTGGACTCTCTCGCCGCCGGCATTCACAACCTCGAACTGTACCGCTCGACCTCGGACGCCGTCTCCTCGCAGGTCTTGCGCATCTGCGCCGAGCGCCTCGAAGCCCGCGACGCCCGCAACAGCATCCGCCGCCTGGCCAGCACCGACTCGGCGACCGACCACAAGGACCTCAGTCTCCGGCCCCGGCCCAAGGAAGACCTAGGTGTGATACTGGGGGCATTGAGCCGGGTAGAGCGACGAGCGTGATATGTATGGTTTGCGTACGATACGAGCGAATGGATTGCAAATATTCTGCCAGCATTTTTAAGAGGGGTTTCACTTTCTCGCCCGGTTTTTTCCTTTCTCGCTTCTGATAAATCTGAATTCTAATACCAATACCTTTTACTTGCTACTGCTGTTGCTGCTGCTGTTAGGGGCTGGACCCGGTGTAAGCCCTTTTTTCCCTTGTTCTTTGTCTTTGATTTCTCGGGTTCGTTTGGCGGGTTTGGTTTTGTTTTCGTGGGTGTCATGATGGAACGGGATGGGACGGAATGGGTTGAGCTGGGTTGATTCGATTTGAAGCACTAGCACTAGCACTAGCAATGGAGTTTGGGGAGTGAAGTGGTTGATTTCCTGGGGTTTGTTTGATATGTGGCGGGTAGGTGGGTGGGTGGTAGATTAAATCGAATGAGCCATACCTACTCAGCTCTATTTACCACGGATTGCTATCCATTCTGGTATATTCAGTGTAGGAGTACAATCCGTAGGTGTAGGTATACTTTGGTAAATAAGCAATAGCTCATCAACCTCTTCTCCCGCGTGAAGATCATGTCAAACACCCATGCTGTTGCTGAAAGTGCCCTGCCCCGCTAGCAATACAAAGATTTATATATGCCCACCCCGCAAACCAAGAAGCGTATTCATCCCTCAGCAGGTATGGTCTTGACCTCCCCCTCCCCCCGGCTTTTCGCTCGCCATACCGAACTTAACTCTTGTCGATGCCAGCAAACAGATCAATGGGCGCTGCGCGCTGGATCCACACCGATTGTAGCAAGTAAGTTGGCGTCAGACCCGGTACCGTCCCCTTGCAGTAGCTAGCTATCCTTTACATTACACTGTGATAATTGAATGAATGCATCATCGTGCATAAGCTACGCTACGCCACGCCAGGAATCCCGCGGTTGGGGTGGGTTGTTTCTGCTCGCTTCTGCTGCGGGGTACAGTACGCGATTTCGGGGACGTGATGGGGACGGACGGGGACGGGTGTGGGTGTGACGCTTGGTTTCGTTCTACTGTGCTTGGATACCTTAGGGGGATACGGGGGGTGTTCAGGTTGTTGTTTGGGTTGGGGGTTGGGGTGATGGTGTTTGTATTGTTGTTGTTTTTGCTCCTATTGTTCTTGTTCTTGTGATTGTTGTTGTTGTTGTTGTTGTTGTTGTTGTTGGCACCCTATCGCGCGAGATTTGATCAGGTATTTTGGAGGGACGAGAGAGAGGAATTGATAATGTTCTATTGACTTGAGGTAGAAGGGGTTGGGATTCAAAGTTTCATGTGATGTCTGTCGTGATGACGGGGAGCTAGCTATCTATGGGACGAGATTGGGCAGGTTTGGATAATGTCTTGCGTTGCAGAGGTGAACGGCGCTGGTCTGGAGCACTTTAGTGAGGCGGTTCTAAGACATGGGCAGAGAAGGTTCGCGACCTGTTCAGATGATCAAACTCGCTGATAGTTACGAAGCTCTAGAGGGGCCGATTCTGGCAGCTGCAAAATCTGGAAAGAGGGTTCAAGACAGTCGATATGCTCTTGACTCACGAGAATTGACTACACTGAATGTCATGCGAGTGGGGAGTGGAGGAGTCAATGGTGGCGAATGGAGTCAATTGACTTGCTGCCATCGATAATAAACTTACCTCCCTTATCATACTGTGATTGTACAGGGGTTTGGCTGGCCTCTGCTTGGTGAAGGTCTTGTCACACCGAGCTAGATGGTCTCTGTCTCAGTATAAAGACTCACCTAGAACCTATTCTGGTCTCTATATCGACCCACAGGCTGGAAGCTACACCCTGCGCGCAAAATGCACACCTCCCTGTCCCAGGCGCAATCATGATGAATTATACTCTCTTCAACGGTAAACTCGTCATGTCTCAGAGCGCCTCCAGAAGACGGCCAACGTCACCCCAATTACCTTGACGACGGAATGGTACGGATTTCGCCACTATCCATCGCACTGACAATCAGACACAAGCTACCTCCCTGCCTTCCCCACAGTGGCAGCCGCCAGCGCGCAGACCTCCATGACAGGAGACTTACATCCGCCGGCACGGCTGCATCGCCTCCCCGGTGTGACGCCTTTCGCTCTCATTCCGGTTTGCAGAATTAAAGATTGGTCCTTGCGCTCATGCAGGTGACACCGCCATCCTCGGCAGCACTGCGCAGCGTCGGACGGGAGGGAAGTCGAACCCGCTCTGGGTTGAACAAGCCCGGTCGCATGAAGCTTGGGACTCTGTCGGGCATGTTGGAATGAATAGGCGATGGCTGCAACATGGATGTAAGTAAGCTCCTAGAGTCGACCTGTCAGTGTAGCTTTAGATAGGCACGCAGCGGACTTACCAGCCACCGTCCGAGCACAGAGATGAGACCAGGTTCGGCTGTGCGCGGTGTGACCTGGCGCCACGCAATCTACCAGATGCGAAAACCCACTGACATCATGGATAGGCGCGTCATACAAGCCCAGGGTGCTCGGAAGCAGCTCGACGCAGGTACGGGACAGCAAAGAATGGTGGAAGTGATCAAGCTGGTTCTTGTGATGGATCGTGCTCTGCCAATTCTCCCGATAGTGCGGAGCACTAAACAACGAAGATGGGGCAGGGGATTGTGTGTCGACATCGCAGGGAGTGTTCTATATTTATTTTCGCAGTACGAATGGAATGTCAAGTCCACACTGCAGCTGGGAGTGGGGCAATGTTCAATCATCCAGTCTAGCTCTGCGCATCCCAACAAGCCAGCTGTTAATTCTCAAGTGCCATTCCAGTTGTCTCAATTGGGTTCCGACCGGGGGTCGGCGAAATTATCGCCACACCGACCGGTAAGCAAGCCTCAAGCAAGGAGTCGAGCCAGAGGCGTCTTTTTAGTTCCAACGTCGAAGCTTGTCTGCAGCCGGCGGATCGGTGTACGTAGGCAAGTGTGAATGTCCCTGGATGCAAGTGATATGAAGAACAGAAGGATGGAAACAGACATGAAGATTCTTGCGACATCTGTATCGGGAACTTTTGTCCTCAACTTGAAGCAAAAACACCAGAGGCACTCGAAAATCGGGGAGTGATGCGGTACGGCCGAATCCGGTGAGCCGCTAAAAGTAGGTATTGTAGATCCCCTGAGTGCACCGTGCATCTGCACTTGTGGATTGCAAACCCCAATACAGAGATGTGATTAGCCCCAGGATCCAGGACCCATTCTGATTGATGATCAGGGGGGAAGAGGGAGGGGGAGGGGGCAAGGATACTCCATGACAGTAAGGGAGATCCAACCATCCAAGGCATTTTCGGAGCCAGGTAGCTAAGTAGCTGGCTGCATGTCGAATATCTTGCAGATCGTCCACTGCTCGAACGCGCGTTTTACCCCACACTCCTTCTTTCACTAGTTAGAGGTGCATGACAATTCCCCTATACCACTTAATTCTGCGATGCAATGAGCTCGAAGAAAGCTTACCCATGGAATCTAACCACAAATAGTATGTGTATACTATGTGGGTTAGTTCTAGTAGATTTTAGTGGAAGATCCAGGTCCGTGATAATGCTTGAGAACAATTCGTGGAAGATGACAATTGGAAAGAGAAGAATTGCATGGCGGAGAGAGAAGAGGAAGTGACTGAGATTGAGATTGAGATTGATTGAAATTGAAGTCTACAGGGACTTCCCAGTCCCGTTCAGAAAGCCGCCCACCGCTGAGTCCTTCAAAATTTCCTCCATTTCCTCCAACCTCTACCTCAACTTCAACTTCACTTCAACACTCCTCCTCTCCATACATCACTCCATCAGTCCCAACATCAATTATCCCCTGTTCTCTCTGTCCCACTCGGTCGCCGCATCGAGTCTCGCCATGTGATAAATTCGAAGTTCGTCATCTGCCATGGATTCTCTCTCCCCCCCCTCTCCTTACTAGAGCCGCTGCCGAGATCCTGCACTACGATGTGATGTGATACTCGACTGAGATGGTTGAATGCGGCCCCCAATGCAAGCTCATTCATCCATCCATCATCTGTCAACGATTAAAAATTCGTCCGGCTGACGTGGAGGATGGTCGGGAATGGCTCAATGCACTCCTCCCGCATTAAGAACCACGGGCTACTTGTCCAGACCGACCATGGGTCCGATGATGTCCCTGAATGACTGTTGACGGTCCGGTTCGGGCACTAGAAGAAGTAGACGAACGTCGTTGATCTTTAGTTGCGGATGGGGGGATCCTCTTTCCGGACCCAGCAACGGGCCCACATCCCCGGGAGTTTCCAGTTTTGCCTCTCGACCTGTTCAGGAGTGGCAGATAATACAAATAGATGTGAAACCAGAACCCACCGCGCGCATCCATCAACATACCTCTCGATCGGCTCAGCCCCGTCAATCGACTTCTATACTTTCCTCAAGAGGTTCCAGAAGGCTGCACCGTGGATCCAGGCGCTTCTGTCGGTGGGGGCCCGAAGAATCGACCACAAACTAGTGGACAGTCTGCCTAGTCTTTACGCGACTCAGATGAAACAGTAGAAGCCAAATACCGATGCAGATTCTCGACTGCACGACTATCTGTGAAAGCAGCCGAGATCCAACGCAGGCCGAGAAAAACACTGTCGTCATCGTTAGAACCGGAGTCTCCAGACTTGTGAGACAATAGCCCATTTAATGAGCTGTCTTGGACTCTTGCAGTCAATTCCCCTCGACGCCGTACATCTGAAGCCGTCCTAGCCAATGTGACTCCTTTATGAGCCACAGTGGTACCGAATCGTGGAGCCCGTGGAACCAGTTCCGTCAATGAATGTGGTCGCGTCCCAGATAGTAGCAAGACCGGCGCGGCCCTGCTGATAGATGCCTGAGCGCAGCTGTAGTCCACGGGGTTGGGTGTCACCCTTTTTGATTTCCTGTGATCGTCTATACCTCTTGACATGCCCGTCGCTTCTTCGATCCGGTTGGTTCCATGCTATCGGACTTTAGGGTTATGGGGCTGCACCTGGCCTGGAGCTGGGACTCTCCCTAGTGCAGCTCAAGAGACTTTCCTTGAATCTGTCTCCTGTTTTTGCTCGACTTATTTTGAATCATTTTTGCCTGGCCCGGAAGACGCTGATCCATTGGTCCGGGACTGTCATGACCTGCAGCGATAATCGATGCAATGATTCATCAGCGTGGCGATGATGCTCCGCAGCTGAAGCTACTGTTGATACAAAACTTTTCCTTCCCCTTTCTCTGACATCTTTTGTCCAGACGTCAAACCCCCAGATTGCGAGAGAGTATCCTGAGTCATTCTACTTCCTACGGCCTTAAAGTCCTTAAATCCTGCTACACAGGGCCAAGGACAGATCGCGCACATCCATTTCTTCATATGATACTCAGTGTGGTTTGAGTTCCGTGATTGGTCCTCCCTTCCTTTATCTGGAGCTCCCATATCCCAAGATTCGGCTGCTTTCGTCCATCAGAAAATCGGACGTCTCTGGCACTTGCCTTCCCCACCACCTTGATTATAATACCCTCGAGCTTCATCGTAGCCACGGCTAGTACAGTGCAAGCTCTTATCTATCTCTTCACCCCTCCCCCTTTTTTCCTTCGCCTGCCTCCTCTTTCACCTGCAGCAAGTTCGGAATTTCTCTGGAGGAGTCCTTCAGGCCAGCATAACGAATCGGGATATGCGTCCGTGACGTGCCTTCATTCCTTACGGCGGGCCCTTCATCCCTTCCAAGCACCCTACCGTCGCGACCACTATCTGCTTTTTTGAGGTGGCTTGGAACGCGAAGCCTTGCAACCACCATATCGTCCTGTCTTTGCCCGCCTCATTCCTCCAGCTTGGCATAATCCTCCGAGGTGAGTTTCAGCTCGTAGTTAGGCCCCATTGGTGATGTAACGCGCAGATCTGACATGGTTGCTAGGCTACTGAATATAGCTACGGTTTGCTAGCCACGGGGCTGTGCCTTCGAGGGGCTACAAGATCAGATTTCGCCTTCAGAACTAGAAATAGTGCATCTCTCAAACAAGGTCTGTGTGCAGAGTACGGGGCACAGAAACCAATAAGTGGAATATTTCGGAAGTACTAAAAAAACACCAGCAGGGTAACACAGAAAAGTACAGAAATTCCGCTTGTTCAGAAGGCACTCTGTCCAGTCACGTAAAGCACACGGGAATGGCTGGTGGTTACTTTGATCTCCCTATTTCCTCTTCAAGGCCCCGAAGCCTTACTGATCTGTCCGGAAGGACAGGCAGATCCTCTCAAGGGCCGCGTATATCCTCTCTCTCGATCCCCAATGAGAGGCTTCAAGAGAGTGCAGCGGACCCTAGCGGCGCCCAGGGTAGATTCCGGAATGCTAGAAATCCCAAAACCGCGAATCGCGTCAAATTTACTGTCAGCGAAGCTGGTCTTGGCGACAGTTCTTTCGGATCGACGTCAGAGACCCGGCTTGATGGAAGGGGTTCATCATTGCCCCAAAGACCGTTACCCACAGCTCGCATTCCAGTCGCCGACAAGGTCACTGCCAGCCCCCAATCAGTGCCCTTGATCGATATCAGCCCTGGCTCACCAGTCGGTGTCACGGGCCTAACTATCCACTCAAGGGCTAGCTCGCCGGAGATTTATGGTGATGATGAAGTCAGAAATGAGAAGGGGAGAGCTATCCACTCTGCGCAAGAGAGGGCCCAGCGATTGGCCACCTTACTCAGTCGTTCTCCTAATTCTCCTAGGCCAAGCCGTCGGAGCAGTCTGCCGTCATCCATAGACTCGACTCCCTCCGAGGTGGTGCCGCCCGCTGAGCTTGGAGATGAAATTCCCATGATCAGCCTGACCGAGAAAAATTTCGACGACTATTCAGACGACGATGAAGTTGGCCCCCTAAACGGTCGACACTCCACGCGTTCTTCTGAAGCTCACAAACTAGTGCAACAAATGACTCTAAAGGATTTCAACTTTCTGACCCGGCTTCAAGCCCCGTCGCCAGGGTTTCGCTCTGGACAGGTTACTCCCCTCGAAGACAGGGATTCCGAAAATTATGTCGAACGGCCTTCTCAGTATCGGAGTGGGATTCTCTCATCTCTGCTGAAGCTTCACGAGCATTCGGATGGTCACTATTCTATCGGACGTCATGGACGTTCTCGCCGAAGTAGCGCCGGGGAAATCAGTGGTAGAGGGCTGTCTCCTGATCCAAGTTGGAAGTCCCAACGCCCGAGGAAATGGTACGAAAAATCGCCGAGCCAGTCTAGTCTGTCTCTAGCTGGTTCCACCGCCAAGAACTCATCTAGCTCCCCTATCGCGATGCTCAAGCGCTCACGGAGCAGTGGTGCGATACCAGGTGCGCCTAAGCGAATGGGCAAGCCACAGCTTGAGGATGAGATCCGGATTACAGTGCACATCGCTGAGCTTCTCTCGCGGCAGCGGTATTGCATTCGCCTCTGTCGGGCTTTGATGAAGTATGGGGCACCAACGCATAGGTTAGAGGAGTATATGAGGATGACGGCACGGGTGTTGGAAATCGACGGCCAGTTTCTCTATTTTCCGGGATGCATGATCATCTCCTTTGACGACGCTGCCACCCATACGACGGAGGTGAAAGTGGTGCGGGCGCCTCAAGGTGTTGACTTGGGCAAGTTGTCCGATGTACACCTTATTTACAAGGAGGTGATACACGACGTGATCGGGGTGGAGGAGGCTATTCAACGGCTGGACGAGATTATGAAAATGAAGAACAAATACCCTGTCTGGCTTCTGATTCTGTTGCATGGCTGTGCTAGCGCCTGCGTTGGCCCCTTTGCATTCAGTGCGCGACCCATCGATATGCCGATCGCGTTTCTGCTTGGATGCCTCTTGGGGACCCTGCAACTTGTGCTATCTCCACGTTCAAACCTCTATCAAAACGTCTTCGAGATATCAGCGGCTGTTCTGACTTCCTTTCTGGCACGGGCTTTTGGCAGCATTCGCCATGGAGATGGGCGACTGTTCTGTTTCTCGGCTCTGGCCCAGTCATCAATTGCGTTGATTTTACCAGGCTATATGGTACTGTGTGCCAGTTTGGAACTACAGTCC